GATTGGAGTTATGGATGTTAGAGTAGATCCGTGGTGTCATTTGTGACTTGTGTACAAAATTTGAGGACAATCGGACGTGATTTGATAAGTTTCGGCGTCATTTGTAGAAATTGGAAGTTCAATAGGCTTGAATCGATGGGTGATTCGTGTTTTTATGTTGTTTGAGGCTATTTGTGGGCTCGACTAAGTTTGTATGATGTTCTGGGACTTTTTTGTATGTTTGGTTGTGGTCCTAGGGGCCTCAGGTGAGTTTCGGAAGGTAAACAGATCAATGTTGGACTTAGTATTATAATTGAAGTTTTGTGGTGTCTCTAATAAGGTCTCCTCTTATGCGATCGCGTAGGAAGGTCCGCGATCGCGTAGGCTAAGCTGGATAGTGAAGGATTTTTGTTCTATGCATTAGCGAGCAGGAGGATGTGACTGCGTTGTGGAACGTTGTGATTTGCGAACGTGTGGCTAAGGCCGCGTTCGAGTAGGGTATTGGAGGCAGAAGCTGGGGTCGCGCATTTGTTCTTTGTGGTCGCATGGTGAAGGACACGATCGCACAACTATGAGGAGTCAGCTTTACACGATCGCGATTGCAGTTATGTGTTCTCGTAGAGTAAATTTCAGCGGCAGACTGGCTTGTGCTATGCGAACGCGAAAAGATGGCCACGTTCGCGATGAAGGATAACTGGGCAGCTGATTTAAAAGTTCAAAATGAGGGTTTGAGTTCATAACATAAAAATTAATTTGGGAGCTCGGTAGAAGACAATTTTTGGAGAGATTTTCACGTGGGTGTTTGGGGTAAGTGATTCCTACCTAGTTTTGGTTAATTTCGATGGTTATTCTTTTGATTTCACTATTAAATTTGTGATTTGGGATGGAAAATTGAGAAAAATGAAGATAAGTTCTTAGGCTAGATTTTTGAGGTTTTGATTGGGATTTTGGTATGTGATTTGAGTAATCTTGGTATGGGTGAACTCGTGGTTGCATGGGTTTTGATTGGGATTTTGGCATTAGATTTGAGTAATCTTGGTATGGGTGAAGTCGTGGTTGCATGGGTGTTCGGATGTTGTGACCCACAGAGGCCGTGTTACCTGTTGAATTATCTGCTAAATTGCTGCTGGTACTCAGTCACAATTTTATTTGCATATCATATCTCTGTCTCTATTGTTTTTTGTTGATATATTATATCATTTCTATTTCAGGCTATTTTTATGATTTCTGAGAGCCCGAGAGACTGCAGAGGTTGATGACTGAGTGAGGCCGAGAACCTGATTGTGAGGAGATCGATACTATTATACGTGAATTGTCCGTGCAACACATGAGTTGTCCGTGCAGATCTAGATATTGATATTATAGCACATGAGTTGTCCATGTAGACTGTCCATATCGTTGGGGCTGAAAGAGCCCCTCCGGAGTCTGTACATCCCCAGGGAGCACAGGTACCTACTGAGTACGAGTGCCTAGCTATTGAGAAAGTCTAAGTGATTATTGCTCTAAGAGGATGATTTTGATTTCATTATTGTTGCACTTAGCTGCCATATATCACAGTTTTGAATTTTTCTGAAAGATATTATATTCTGTTTTACTTGAACTTGAAATGAGGTAACTGATTTGACCTAAAATTATCGAATTTGAAAGCATGCCTACTTTCCTATGTTGAAATTACTGAAAATCGAACTATAATTGCAAAGCTCGTCACTACTTTCAGTTCTTTATTTAGTCTTGTTACTTAATGAGTTATTTGTACTAACGCTACACCCTGCACTTCGTGTACAGATTCAGGTATTTTCGAACACGGTGGGTGTTGATTTAATTGCACAGTTGATCGTCTAGGAGATTCCAAGGTAGTTGCCCGGCGCCCTTCCCTATGTTTTTGGCTTATTATATTTAGTTTCAGACAATGTTAGGCAGTATTTTTCTGACTTGTGGTATTTAGATGCTCATGTATTAAGTGATACCGCGATTTGGAAGTTTTCGCGTTTTGTTTTGGATTTTCTGTCTTGTTTATGAGAAATTCTACTACTTAAACTGCTTTAAATCCGTTTTTGTTCAAAGTCTTGGAGTAAATTCGTAAATGTCGGCTTGTCTAGTACCACGTTAGGCGCCATCACCACTGGCTAGTTTTGGGTCGTTACATTGCATGACATCATAAAACGATGACAAACAGTATAATATATCCAAATATTGTATACATCAGAACGATACAGTACAATACAATACATTATAATACGCTACGATAGATGACAACCATCCAAACAGACTGTTAATTAGTGACGTTCCCTAATATAAATGGCATGTCATTTTTAAAATCGCAAGATTTAAAGAATATTTTTAATATTATGCACACCTTTATTTAAGATAACGAGATCAAAGATCTTCTTTACGTTCTTAGCTTAGCGATAATCAAAACTAAAAACCCATAAAATAATTTTAGAAAGCATCAATAGTCTATTAATCATGAGTTGGACATGAATACTTTCCTGCTATACCTTGATGACATGATAATCAAGGTCCAAGGAACATTGGAAACCTGCAAATATAAAATGCTCTTTTTTATCATATGGTTTAAAATATTTGGTTTCTTGCTTTTATTTCCCTTCTTAATGTCTTATATACCCAGAAAAGACTTATTCAAGAAATGCAAGGTAGTTGAATTACCAAAAGAGGAACATATATTAATATCAGTTATACTTCTGTTTCATTGGTAATAGATTTTTCTTTACAGAGGGGAAACAGTAGGGAAAGAAAAATGCCCTTCAACTTTCTTGTTTTCCACAGAATGTTTTCAAAGTGAAAATGCTTTACGAATTTCAAGAATGTCAGTCCCACAAAAAGGGAAAAAAGGAACATAAATTTAGATATAGACAGAACAATGTTTAGTAAATGTATACCGATGCACAACTTCACCATTCAATGCACTGTCATTAAAACATAAAATAACATGTTAATTCTCAATTACTTCTTAATTACTTACTTCATACCATGTTTTTTATATAATCATATGGTATTCGACACTTACAGGCCCAAATATTCAGATTTATATCGCGTAAATCCTATTAGAAGTACTTCTTGCAGGGATTCCTTCATTTTTAGGAACCAAAATCGAGATCTCTAATTAACAACGAAGGATTCTATTAATCTCAGCACACCCTTTGATAATCTTGATTAAAGGAGTATTTTCTGCCGGGTTTCTAAGACTCAAAATTGAAGCATGTTACTATTAACAACAGAGGGATCTTATTAATTCTAACATATCCTTTTTCATAACAAGAAGATTAAGAAATGGGCAAATAGATTAATAGCCTGTATGACCAAACTTCATTTTGAAAAGTGTTTTTCTCAAAATTACTTTTCAAAATAGTACTTTTGGTGATAGCAGTTTGTGTTTGACTAGTTAATTTAAGAAGCACTTTTGAGCAGTAATTAGAGTTTGATCAAAGTTTTAAAAACTGATTCTAATTGTATTTTTATCAAAAATACTTTTAAAGAGAAGCTACTTTTTTCTGATCCTCAAAAACTGCTCCTGCTTATCTTCAAAAATCCTTTTTTTTTCCATTCTAAAAGCTTTCCCAAATACCTCAATTTTTAAGAGAAAAAAAAAAATTTAGCCCAAAAAAAACTTGGCCAAACATACATATGAAAAAGATACTAGTATTGTGAGGTAAAAAGGTAAAAGAAGTGCCAAAAGATGATGAAATAGATTAGTTATAAGTGAAGACAAAGTTTGATGTAAGGAAGCAAAGGAAAAGAAGAGAGGCCCATGCGTGTATGTTTTTTGTTGGAATGTGATTTTGATGGAAAGGACAAGCTGCTGCTATCTGGTCTTCTAACTTTTTCCCAAGACTATATCCCAAATATATTCAGTAATGAAACGTGTGGGAGCCCTTTTTGACAGCTTATTATTATTATTATTATTATTATTATTATTATTATTATTATTATTATTATTATTATTATTATTATTATTATAAAGATTTGTATATTAAAAGTGGTTTTCAGTTTCAGATAGCTAGCAGTCCACTCATTATATTTCAAATGTTACCCCAGCTTTAGACTCTCATACTTGTTTATATTTGCTACTCATCAGTAGTTGGAGGGACATGAATGCTTTACCTTTGTTCTTTTGTTATGTTCTCTTTCTTTGCATTCAATCCGTGCTTTCTTGTTTTCTTCCTCTATTTCCTCTACCTGCTTTCTATCATCCTTACAATACACTCGTGTACATGTTCTTTGACCTCATACATATTGGCTACAGTGGCTGTATTCGTAAGCGGTGTTAATATTTAAGAAATTTATAAATAGATTTACTATAATGACAAGTATAGTGTCTTTTTATATTTTTATTATATTTAGTATAAAAGATCGACGAAACAATGTAACACAACACCACTTACTTGGTGTATTGGGAAAAATTACATTTATATAAGGATGACGTGTCGAGACACGTGGACTGGTCAAATAGTCAAAGAATTACAATTAATCAAGAGACACGAGCAGCAATAGAAACAAGCAAGGACAAAGGAAGATGCACGGGTGGCCGTACCGGTTTAAGTCATTTATATCCAAGAATCAAAAGGAATGGATCTGACCATAGTAAAGAGCGCAGATACAGAATTTGACAGACATTAAATACTGGATACGTTAAGGAATTTGTATTGATTATAATGATTATGTAATGTAGCATTCAATGTCTTTAATTATTCATAATAGCCTCATTATGATTTGGGAAAAACGCATATCTTTAAGATACCTATAAAAGGGAGGTATCTGATCAATTGTAGGGACAAGGGATATCATCGGAATATACTTTGATTTACTTGTTTTTCTCTTGATTATATTCTAATTACATCAAATTACTTTCCTTTGCATATTCTTTTGATTATCAGTAACTCGTGTTCTTCTAAATTCTAGCTTTGACTGAAATTCTATTTTTTGGTTAAACAAATAGGTTCCGTTACCAGAAATCTGATAATCTATTTTCTTTTCACTTGACCTTGCTTGTTGCATCAATTATGTCGAATAACAATGACAACACCCCAGAAAACCAAGAGAACCAACAAAGTCAGGGAGGTCCACAAAATCTTAACATTCAAGTTCCTACTCCGCAAAACTCTCAACGGCAATCTCGTGAGGGTACTCCTGATGGGTCTCAAATAAACGAGTATGCTCAATTTGAAAATGCTGAAGCTGGTGATGAAGCTCTGCAAAAATTAATTGCCGCTCAGGTCAACAAAGCTGTTGAGGCACTTGTTAACTAGTTACCTGTTGCAACACCCACACCTACTCCAAATAATAACACTGTGGACAACCCTCGTTCTGGACTTGTTAATTCAGGTAGCAGTGGAACTCCCAGTAAGTCACAGGAGAGAGAACCAGGTAATGTCATTAATTCTGATTTGTAAAATTTAGTACTAACCTTGCAGAAACAGCTCAAGGAGCAAAGTGAACGCATATAACAGATACCCGGGGTGCCGCCCATAATCAAAAGGGTCGATATGGATAGATATTCGCAACAACCCTTGAAGCCAAGTGCTGCTCCATTCCCAATACCAAAAAAGTGCAAAATGCCTGATATTTCAAAGTATGATGGAACAACAGACCCACAAGATCACGTGACTGCGTTCACAACGGGTGTAAAAGGCAACGATTTGACTAAGCAGGAGATTGAATCAGTCTTAGTAAAAAAATTTGGTGAAACACTCACCAAAGGAGAGTTAATATGGTATTCTCTTTTACACGAAAATTCTATAAATGCTTTTGCTGAGCTTGCAGATTCTTTCATCAAAGCACACTCGTGAGCTCAAAAAGTAGAGAAAAGAATGGAGGATATTTTTAAAATCAAGCAGGGGGACTCTGAACTGCTTAGAGAATTCGTGGACAGATTTCAACGTGAAGGAATGACATTGCCACGTGTACCTGACAACTGGGTAGCGATAGCTTTCACAAGTAATTTGAATGAAAAGAGTTTGGAAGCTACGAGGAGACGTAAGGAAAGCCTTCGAGAATTCCCAGCTACAATGTGGAATGATGTTTATAACAGGTATAGCACAAAGTTGAGGATTGAGGAAGATACTGTTCCGCAATTCCAAAAAGATGAAAAGATAAGTTCGATACGGGCGGAGACCGAAAAAAGGTCCGGTAAAAACAGGTACAAGCCTTATATGGGACCTACGGAAAAAGACTCACGGTCAAAGCAGGATAGTCAAAGGTACGATCATAGATCAAGAAACAGAGAATTAGGTTCTTCATCAAAATTCAGGAACGAGCGAAACAACAGAGAGTCACGGGCACAAAATAACAGATTGCAGATTCTTACAAAGTGAAGTTGATCATTTATTAAAACAAGGATATCTTACTGAGTTGTTTAGTGAGAAAGGCAAGCAGGCTTACATGAAGAACAAGCAGGAGCCTCCAAAACCACCTTCTCCCAAAAGAACTGTTAACGTTATAAGTGGGGGTGAAGACGTCAATGGTATATCATATACTGCAGCTAACAAAACTTCCAAAGTAACAATTACCCAAGGGAAATGGGTGCGGCATGTTTTAGAGGAAGACAATATAACATTCAATGATGTAGATACAGATGGCGTATCAACCCCTCATAACGATGCACTGGTAATTTCTTTAATTGTACATGATACTAATGTGAAACGAGTTTTGATTGATCCAGGTAGCTCCGTCAACATTATTTTGCTAAGAGTACTACATGAGATGCAAGCTGAAGATAGAGTAATACCAAAGGTGCATACTCTATCTGGATTTGATAATTCCAGTGTTGTCACGAAAGGGGAGGTAATACTTACCACATTTACTGAAGGGGTCATCAAAGATACAAAGTTCCAGGTAGTAGACATGGAGATGGCTTACAACGTGATTCTTGGAAGACCTTGGATCCACGAAATGGATGTTATTCCTTCGACCTTGCATCAAGTTATTAAATTTCCATCGCCATGGAGAATCTGTCAAATTCGTGGAGATCAACATATTTCCAGGGCTATCAACTCCGTTGCAAATACAAGCATGAGAATTGAAGGTAAATAGCAATCACAGAAGGCAGTTGAGGACTTCGTAGCACAAGCCTCGACTGAACAAGGGAAAACAGACGTAGACTCAAATCCTGATACCATTCAAGAACCAGAAGAGAATGAAAATATCAAAATAACGGTAGAGCAATTAGATCCTGTCGTGTTATTTGCTCAATGGCCTGATAAAAAAGTCTATGTAGGAGCCAATCTTGACCAAAGGATGGAAGGTAAGTTAATTGAATTTTTGAAAACTAACATGGATTGCTTTTCTTGGTCCCACTCTGACATGACAGGAACACCACTAGAAGTGATGACTCATAAACTAAATGAAGATCCATCATACCCCCCTGTGAAGCAAAAGAAAAGAAAGCAAGGGACTTTCAAGAATCAGGTGATTCAAGAAGTAGTCCGAAAATTGCTAAAAATTGGTTCCACTCGAGAGGTAAAGTATCCTAACTGGTTAGCTAACACTCTTGTGGTCCCGAAGAAGAACGGTAAGTGGCGGGTTTGTGTAGATTACACAGATCTTAACAAAGCATGCCCTAAAGATTCTTTTCCACTACCGCATATAGATCATTTGATTGATGCAACTGCAGGTCACGAGCTGTTAAGTTTTTTAGATGCATATTCAGGTTATAATCAGATTAAAATGGATCCAGGAGATGAATAAAAAACTTCATTCATAACAAAAAGGGGGACTTACTGTTATAAGGTAATGCCCTTTGGCCTAAAGAATGCAGGTGCAACGTATCAGAGGTTAGTTACCAAAATATTTCAAGAGCATTTAGGAAAGACCATGGAGGTATATATAGATGATATGCTTGTAAAAACTCAGTACTCAAAAGATCACATATCACACTTATCTGACACATTTTCGATTTTACGCAAATTTAATATGAAACTAAATCCCAAAAAATGTGCATTTGGCATTGCTTCAGGTAAGTTTTTGGGTTTTCTTGTTTCTAACCATGGTATTGAAGTGAATCCTACACAGATTAAAGCCATTGAGGAAATTCCTGACATACTTTCAAACAAGAAAGAAGTTCAAAGATTAACAGGAAGAATTGCAGCCTTGGGAAGATTCATTTCTAGATCGTTAGAAAAGTGTTTCAAATTCTTCTCAGTCCGTAAGAAGCAGGATCATTTTGAATGGAATGAGGAATGTCAACAGGCACTTAGGAATTTGAAAACGTACTTATCAAATCCACCTTTGCTGGCAAAACCAAAGGCTGGGGAAAAACTACTCACCTACCTTGCTGTTTCGGAAGTGGCGGTAAGCGCTGTTTTGGTCCGAGAAGAACAAGGTAAACAATCCCCTATCTATTACGTAAGTAAATATTTGTTAGGTGCGGAGACGAGGTATCCTCAGTTAGAAAAACTTGCACTTGCGTTAATCATGGCATCTAGAAAGTTAAGACCTTACTTTCAGTGTCATCCTATCGTTGTAGTAACTGCCTTCCCTTTACGTAACATATTACATAAGCATGAGTTATCAGGTAGGTTAGCTAAGTTGGCAATAGAGTTAAGTGAATACAAAATTGCATACCAACCTAGAACAGCTATAAAATCACAAGTATTAGCTGATTTCGTGGCTGATTTTAGCCAGGAAATGCAGTTAGAAGCAGAAAAAGAATTGCAGGTATTCAATGGAGCTAACCCAGGGACTTGGACTTTATTCACTGACGGCTCATCTAACGTAAAAGGAGCAGGTTTAGGGGTCGTATTGGTACCACCTATGGGTGAAACCATTCGGCAAGCTATCAAATGTCATTCCATAACTAACAATGAGGCAGAATATGAGGCTATGATTGCAGGTTTAGAACTGGCACGAGAACTTGGCATAAATCAGATTATAATCAAGAGTGATTCACAACTCGTAGTCAATCAGATGTTGGGGACTTATACAGCCAGGGAAGCAAGGATGCAACAGTACTTGGAAAAAGTACGGGAATTGATAAAACAATTTCAAAATTGAAAAGTTAGACAAATACCTAGGGATGAAAATCTTGAAGCAGACGCCCTACCTAATCTCGCATCTGCAGCCGACGTGGCAAATGATGCAAATGCCTCAGTGATACATTTATTTCATTCAGTTCTTGATCCTGATGTGAGTGAGGTAAATTTTAATAACTTAACATGGGATTGGAGGAACGAGATTGTTGCTTTTTTGTATTATGGAACCGTCCATGATGACAAGAAAAAGGCTTATGCGCTACGAAGAAAGACTGCTCGGTATTGTTTAAAACAAGGCAATCTATATCGTAAAATGTTGGGTGGTCCCTTGGCAAGATGCCTTGGACCTTCGCAAACAGAGTATGTAATGAGAGAAATACATGAGGGACATTGCGGGAATCACGCAGGTGGAAGATCACTGGTAAGAACCTTAATTAGGGCAGGTTATTACTGGCCTAAAATGGAAGAAGAAACGGAAAGTTTCGTAGCCAAATGTGATAAATGCCAAAGGTACGGTAACAATATGCATAGACCTGTGGAACTATTATACCCCGTCATTGCGCCATGTCCATTTATGAAATGGGGAATGGATATCGTGGGTCCATTACCATAAGCAAAAGGACAAGTAAAGTTTTTGCTTGTTCTCACTGATTATTTTACTAAATGGGTGGAGGCAGATGCATTCAAACAGGTGCGAGAAAAGGAAGTCCGAGATTTTATTTGGCGGAATATCATATGTCGATTCGGCGTACCAAAGGAGATTGTATGTGATAATGGCCCTCAATTTATAGGAGCTCAGATCACAGAATTCCTTCAAAGTTGGCAACTTAAAAGAATAACGTCTACGCCTTATCATCCAGTGGGTAATGGGCAAGCAGAATCAACAAATAAAGTTATTATCAACAATTTGAAGAAACGATTAGAAGAGTCAAAAGGGAATTGGCCAGAAGTGCTACCTGGTGTTTTATGGGCATATCGTACAATGGCGAAAACTAGTACGGGAGAAACACCGTTTTTATTGGTTTATGGAACTGAAGCTTTGATTCCAGTTGAGATAGGAGAACCGAGTACCCGATTCATACAGGCGACACAAGAATCTAATGACGAGGAGATGCGGGTCAACCTAGATTTACTCGAAGCAAGGAGAAAAGCTGCATTAATAAGAATGGCAGCACAAAAGTAGGTCATAGAATGATACTACAATAGAAAAGCACGCCTCTAGTTCTTCAAAATTGGGGGCTTCGTGCTTAAAAAGGTTTTTCAATCTACAAAAGCAGCAAACGCAGGAAAATTAAGTCCAACATGGGAAGGACCTACAAAGTTCGTGATGTTGCAGGAAAAGGAGCGTATGAACTAGAAACAATGGATGGCAAAGTACTACCTTCACATTGGAATGCTGTTCATTTGAAGAGATACTATTTCTAAGGGAAACCCACGGTTAGGTATAACCATTTTATAGTTAATTTTTGAATTGTTAAAATTTTAGTAACGATTTTAGATGATAGACAAAAAGCTATCCCGTACTAAATGATGAGTCACGACCTGTAAGGCACACAGAGTAACCCAAAATTCCTGGCCAAGGGTTACAACTATTCTGATAGAAATAAATATGGGGTATGTAGTCTTCATCTATAATCGCCCCTCCGAGTCCCGTGTGTTTTTACCTTTTCAGGAAAAGGACCAAATGAGAGGAACTATCAAGTGCTCGAGGCTTCATACTTCAACACTCAAACACTTAGGGGACTACATAACATATATAGACATGTATATAAAGAAGGCAAAGAAGATTGAGGGAAAATCAAGCCTAAAAGAGTCAAGTGCAGAGTAAAAGTTACGAGATGGAGCCACGAGCTGAGGCTAAAGAGAAACAAAAATCTCATTATAGTTAGGGTATTAGGGTAAAGGCCATATACTAAAATGGGTTATAAGGAAAAACCCCGTACCTATTACTCTTCTTTTGTAAAAATCTGTTACAAGAAAAACAGTTATGAGAAAGTTATAGATGTACTTCAAATACATGTAAAGAATTATAAGTTCCAATAACAACTTGTCAAAGTTATTTCAAAGAAACATGTGTGTTCCTATTTCTTTTATCATATGTTAACACCATTATGAAGTTGATACGTCTACTTCATTAAGTGTCGAAATATAAAAGGGCCCTCTTTTATAAAACTCATGTTCAAATTAATTAGTCATGAGGATAACAGAAGCATTTTTGAAGAATAAAAATGCAAATTATTCTGTAAGTCCTTAAAAATTAAGGCAAGAATAAAGGAAATAGAAGTTTATAATAATAACACGAAGAACTTCTTAATATGTGAAAATCTAAGACTAAGGACAAACTTTGTCATAAAATTACGAGACTATCTTTATAGATTTCCCCATAAAAGACTTGGGGACTTACGACTTCAAAATCAACCCTCAAATAAAGTTAAGGGTCTGATTACAGTTTTCCAAAACAAAAGCAAAGTCACTAGAATGTTCAAAACCGGTCAGTGAGAACTTTGAGGAACCGAAGTAGGAGCATCAACAGTAGTGAGTTCAATTTGTGCAGCTACATCAACAGATGCGGTTTCAATTTGGCTTGTAGCAACAGATTCGATTGGGCTTGAAAGAATTGGGATACCCATATCAGCCTCAACATTCACGGGAGCTTCAGCTACGGGAGAAGGGAAGTCCTGAGTTTGTTGAGCCTTTTCAATATTTTCATTGATCTTAGCTAACTCCAACTCTAGGTTGAAGTTTTCTTGACCAGCTTCAAGTAGGGTATCACGACGAGAATTCAAAAATGCCCAAGTTGTCTCAACAACAGATTTTTCTTCAAGGATCTCATAATCCCTTTCCCAAGCAGTGATCTCATTCTTTAGATCTTCATTTTCAACCAAGGAGGAGTTGTGGAAAACTTGAAGAGAGGCATGGGAGCATTCTAAAATACGCACTTTATCAGCAGAGATTCTAAGATCCTCTTGTACTTGAGTCAAGTTTTGCACGAGCTCCCCAGTGTAAACTTTCTTTTGGTCCAAAAGAGCTTTTAACTCTTTGATTTCTTCACTAGTTTTAGATAGTTGCTCTGAGAAGGAGGACTCGAGACATTCTTTGTCTTTTTCTGCTTAGTTTATAGAAGCTTTTGCAACAGCCAATTCTGAAGTTAAAATCCGCACTCGCTGCTCTAAGGTACTCTTGTTCTCTTGTAAGTTTTCTATATCAATCTGTGCACTCTCAAATTGCTCTTTCCAATTGATTGCTTCCGAATGAGAATCACGTGCTATCTTCTCCAAGGGGGCAATTCTTTTCATCATTTCTGTGCCAATAAGGTTGGCCTGAAAAGGGGAAAAAGAAGTAAGAATTCTCAAAGATAGTCGGATTATAAAGCAAAAAAAAGGGAAGAGAAGGAAAGCTCCTTCAAAGTAGCGTGTACGATATCATTCATTAAATCAGGGAACTATGACTCTCCAACTTGGCTTTTTCAATTGGGCCGATTAAAGGCTCCAACCATGCATCTGCCTGACCTGACTTTCTTAAAAGGCTGCTCTCGGCAGGAACTTCAATAGTTACCCGCCTCATAGCGGCACTTCTACTTGAAAAGCCCGCTTCTATATGATGAACGATAGGAGGGGGAATAGTCAAAAGAGGAGCCGGAGAAGAGGTGAAAGCAGTAGAAGAAGGAACGAAAATAGCTGGGGCAGGTAAGGAAGGAACCACAATCACGAGAGTTGGAAAAGAAGATAAGGGTACTTCGTCTAAAACAGGTCCTACATCTTCACGGCCAAATCCGCTAATGAAAAGTTGGTCAATAGACTCACGAGTATCGTGGGGAGTGACGTCATCGTCAGGAATTACTATTGGAGTTTAAACAAGTTCGGTAAGAGAAACCGACATTTCAGCTTTGTCATCAGGTATGATACGTCTTCTAACTCGAGGCCTTGTCACCAGGGAGCCCTCATCTCCCTCTTCTTCAAAGTCTTCCTCTTCTGCAGCTTTCCTTTTTGCAGAAGAAGAACCCAAAACTATTTCCCGGGCTCTTTCTAGAGAGATATGGGTTCCTGAAGGAGTATGGGTTCCTGAGGAAACATGAAAAGCCGCAACTGCTTCAGCAGTAACTCCTCGAATACCAAATCCTGACGGAAAAAAACATTGAAATTAGAGCAATAAAAGAGAATATAGACACGAAAGGCGCAAAATATAAATTCTTACCATGAGTCTTTACCTTCCAACTAAAATGGTTAGAAAGTATTTTCCAAGACCTACCGTCCATCGATGCGATCTTCAGCAATTTATCTACCCAACCACGGAAGTTGGGAACATCCCCCACAACTCCCATGATAGCTAAAAAAAAAACAACAAAGGCAAAATTAGAGAAGTTGGCAAACTTGAAGGAAAAAGGTACGAGAAGGTTAAAAGACTTACGTGCAAAATTTCACTTCTTAGGGAAGGGAACATTATCCTCACCCACTAAACCAACAGTGGGTGCAGCAACAAATCGGGCATACCAGCCGCGGTCTTTGTCATCTTCGAGGCTCACCAAAACCCTCTTACTCCTGGCTACTAGTGTAAAAACACCATTGCGAAAAAGCCTATGTGAGTAAAGATGAATCAAGTGGGGAAAAGTAAAAGGAACTTCGGCTTTAGTGGCTAAATGGCTTAAACAGGCAATAGCCCTCCATACAATCGGACCAATTTGGCCCAAACAGACGTTGAAGAAACGGCAAAATTCGAGAATGACTGGGTCAATCGCTGGTCTGAACCCTAAAGTAAAAGGGTATGTGTAAATAAAAGAAAACCCAGTTAAATAAGAAGTTATCCTCTGATTCGGAGTAGGGATAATAATGGGAAAATCGTTACTCCAATGACAGTCCTTACGAACCACATGAGTCAAAACTTCAGTAATTTGAGTGGGGTAAGTATTGACACGATCTAAAGCGGCAGTCTGGTTTTTAAGAGATTCTCTATCGTGGTAAAAAGATAATTCTGTAGGGACTATCTCTTCTACTAAAGGTTCGCGTAATGGTTCAGATGGTTATTTACTCCTAGAAGAAGATTTGTGAGAAAGGGAACCTCTGGTTCTAGAAGAGGGACCAAAACTAGAAGAAGGCATAGACGAACCACCTCGAGTAGATCCTAAGCTACGAAGCCTACCTTCCCTTCTATGCCTAACATGGGCATTGGGGAAAGAATCAACAATGGAGACTTCTCGAAGGTGAGGGTTTGGTGAAGACATAGCGAAGAGGAATGATGTAAAGAAGAAGTAAACAGAGAATGGGGAAATTAAGTGTTCAGTAAAACTTTATGAGGTATAAGACAAGGGAAGAAGTTATACTTATATTGATAATCGACCGCCAAAGGTAAAAATGAAGAGAAGGAAGGATCACAATTATGATAATTGGCACTTCGTAAATAGTGGAACTGTAAAAACCTTGAAAGAGGCTGCAAAAACTGCAGGACCAATGAAAAATTGATACGTGTACGGAGTATTAAATGGAAGTGACAATTGAAGCGTCAATTTTGTCATAACATTAATGGTGACAAAAATTCTCGTTTTAATCAAATCCACTTCCCAAATATTCAACTGATGAATAAATGAAAAGTGGGGGGACTATCTGTATTGAGAAAAATTACATTTATATAAGGATGACGTATCGAGACACGTGAACTGGTCAAATAGTCAAAGAATTACAATTAATCAAGAGGCACAAGCAGCAATAGAAACGAGCAAGGACAAAGAAAGAGGCACGAGTGGCCGTACCAGTTTAAGTCATTTATATCCAAGAATCAAAAGGAATGGATCTGACCATAGTAAAAAGCGCAGATACAGAATTTGACAGGTATTAAATACTAGATACGTTAAGGAATTTGTATTGATTATAATGATTATGTAACGTAGCATTTAATGTCTTTAATTATTCATAATAGCCTCATTATGATTTGGGAAAAACACATATCTTTAAGATACCTATAAAAGGGAGGTATCTGATCAATTGTAGGGACAAGGGATATCATCGGAATATACTTTGATTTACTTGTTTTTCTCTTGATTACATTCTAATTACTTCAAATTACTTTCCTTTGCATATTCTTTTGATTATCAGTAAACCGTGGTCTTCTAAATTCTAGCTTTGACTGAAATCCTATTTTTTGGTTAAACTCTTGGGGCAATGCGTATTCGTTAGGGGCAGAGATAGGGTA